ATGAGATATATATATATATATATATCACCAGATTCATCATCAGTTTTCGGAGGTAACAAAATAACAATATTTGTCATATTGTATATTGCACATGTAACAAAAGCAGTAACAATTTTCTAATTTGCTAAGCCTGTGTGACCTTGGTAAACTCAAGGCAGGCGAAATATGAAGAAGACTTTTGCTTCTTTTAGTAAGATTCTTTAAAAGATACATTTATATATTTTGTATATATATTATTAATAAATATATGTGCGTGCAAAAGACATAAAAAGTTTTGAATGCTATAATCAATCAACATTTTTGATTAAGAGTAATACGAGTTAAAACCTTGTAGTGGTCGTATCTGATAGTTTCACTTTGAAATCAGTCTTATGAGGCATATTTTGCCCCACGTCTCAAGAATCAGTGGCCGATAGTGCAGGACGCAAATAAAAGTTTCCTCGTATAATGTATGTGTATTATATCTGAGCTATTTCACTGTCTTTTTAAATACTGATGCAGGCATGCATAACTAAGAGAACGTAAAGATATTTAACGGTTGTAGCGGTGTTGTACGTAGTGCACAAGGACACGACATGCACGACTGCCGAGGCAGATGAATCCCCTCTGCCGGCTGGCTGCAGTTACTTGAGTCCGAGGCTTCATTCGCGGCCTACCTGAAAGACCGGAGAATGCAAGTCGGGCTGCGAGCCCACTGTCGCCACTTTGTCCGCATGATATAACCTGGAAACCGCAGCATTTACACTCCTGCTCCGAATGAATGAAACCACCGGTCTAACATAATGCAGAATCATGGTTCATCCTCTGACTGACAGGTCTAAGGACGAGCTCAACATGTAACGTCCCCTGACCTCACCACTTACGTTGGACAGCAAACAGTTAACTCTGAAGTCTTGCTCCCCTTTCCTCAGCCAATGAGAACTGGGCAACTGGCGGACTTGCCCCTTTGCTCTGTAAATGCACTAGCATAGTCTCCACTATTTCTATCATACAAGTACTGGCAGAAACATGAACTTTTGCAGTTTGCTTGTATCTTTACATATTATTGATCTCAATAATTGAGTTATGACTCTTATCCAATGTGCTGTTATTTTGCCAAACACACCATTACATATAGCTTAACAAAATGTTTAATTTCACAAAACTCATGTTCATCATGCTAAACAACGGACACTCCAAACGCCAGAAGTAAGTTATAATACAGTCGGAATAGTTTGTTCAGTTTAAATCACTCTCTCTTTCTTTATTTACATTTTTCCTATTTAAGTGCAGTGTATTTTCTTATTTATAACTTCTCCACTGCTGTAATATCCAGACTGCTACAAATTGCAAATACAACTGACTGTTGGCAATATCTAATTATTTATGAACATTCTTTATAATTTATTTAAATTATCACTGAAGAAAGGTATTATAGCCCACAAAAGGGCTTTGCCCTCAGAAAGAAAAACAAAAAGTAACATACAGTCCCCATAAAAACAAATATATTTTGCACTGAACAATACGATATTTAAACTGAAAAGCAGTAAGTAAATGCCAGTGATAAAATCTGTTGTGTTATGTTCAGCATTAAATAAACAGAAATAAATAACAGAGCTGTGACTGATGTATCACTGCATGTCATCACACAAAAAAAGTTTTTATACAAGTTTTTCCTTCATGAACAAAATGTAGTTAGAGAAGCTGTATTACTAACAATTCTCTAACAGGTCTATAATTAGAAGTGTAACAGTGTTACACATCATTCACTCTAGTGCAATGAACTGGAATAGTAGAAGAGAAATTGAACCAGAACATCCCAAATAAGAATCAATCCGAATCCACAACTTCAGTGAAGATGTCATCCAGTAAGAAGTGGGACACTTGAACAGGATTCTTATCAGCATCCAAATCGGAGACAGGAGGGCTATTTTGAGGAGACTGCACAGCAGAGGATGTAGCATTAATAAAAACAACTAATAAAAAGAGATGTCATAAATTTAAACCTTTCAATTCCTTATCTAACATTAATATAAGGTGTAATAATGTACAGAATACAATGATTTGCTTATAGATCACAGCTTGTACCTGATGATCTGCTGATGTTCGGGAGGGTGTGGTGGACACTCTGGCTGGGGACGAGGTAGGTGTGGATGTGTTCTCATCAGTAGCTGTTAATGGTATACGATGAAGGACAACCCTTGGTGAGTATCCTGGCAGCACAGGCGGCTCCTCTTCAGCATATGATTCTAAACCAGAGCTTCTGCTTCCATGCAAAACCAGAGATGCCTTATGCATCTCATTCCTAAGAGTACAAATAGATTTAGTAGTTGTTTTTACTGTGAACAGCACTAAATATTGTGATTTCAACAAGAATTACATACGGTGTCATTGGCATGAAATGGAAAGTATCCTTACCCTCTAGAAGTGGTTTTCACAGTGACAGGTGTGCTGTGATGCATTGGTTGCAGGTCACTCTGGGCACTGCAGATTTCCTCTACAGATAACCTTTCTAGCTGTATCCGACACACACTTGAGATCTCTCCTGTTTGTTGTCTTGTTGGAGTTCCCATGGACTCCTTCACTTTTGATGTCAGAGTTCGCTGAGGTGTTGTCGGGGGGGCTTGGGTTGACTTTAGCACACAAGGTTGAACTTTAAAGCGTCTTTCAGGTGATCTTAGTGTCATCTGTAATGTACCTTTTTAAGAGAAATCAGAAAAAAAAAAAATTTGCTCGTCACTCTTAGGGGAATCTCCAGTCTTCCTTTTGGGAAACGTCATCTCTACCAATAACTTGCCTTAAAAGCCAGGGCCATAAAAAGCATCAGAAACGTTACTCAATCAAAGAAAATTCATAACGTTACTCAAAGAACATTCATCACATTGTTACAGAAACTAAGCAGTGAGTCGAGAAATTACGGTTTCAAAAGTTTTTCACCACCTTTTGCCAGAGTGGGTCTTTTCCTCTTGGGTGATACTGATGGTCCCACATTTGATGATTGTGACACTGCGCATGACAGGTCTGTGGTATCTGGATCCTCTCTCACCTGTAGTATAGATTTCAAACAAAAGCCAAATTAATTATGGGTATTAAAATTATGGACATAATAAAACAAAATAATTTTGAGATTGTTAACATCTTTAAAGATTAACTTCAAGTTAATTTTGAAAATGTAAAATATGTGGAAATAAGAATTTAAAATTAAATATCCAATATTGACCAATGCCATTAAAAAAATATCTAACAGTACTCATTATACCATTCAGATAACTAACCTGAGATCTTTCTGCCTCAAGAGGGCTTCTCTTTCCAGTTGTTGTCCATTCCTTGCTCAGATCATCTGCCATTTCCTCACAGACATTGGGATAAAAAGTACTCAAGCGACCAATGGCCTTTCAAAATAGAAACATACATGGACTGCATCTTCTTTAAGACCAGCTGAGAAGGCCTCTTTGTGAAGGGTGCATTCTGCAGTCTCATCCAATACAGGCACCAAAATATCAGAGAACACCATGTGAGAAACACCCCCACATGCCTCCTCACAGTCCTCTGAGCCAATGGGCAGCAAGCCAGCACTATGACAGAAAGACCAAACCATCAGTAATTTAACTCATATTTTGATTAAAACTTAAAATGTACAGATCACTCATACCATGTCTCAGCACTGCATTGTGTTGACATTACGGTTGACGGAGGAACGGTTTGTGATTGCTCGTCACTCTTAGGGGAATCTCCAGTCTTCCTTTTGGGAAACGTCATCTCTACCAATAACTTGCCTTAAAAGCCAGGGCCATTAAAAGCATCAGAAACGTTACTCAATCAAAGAAAATTCATCACATTGTTACAGAAACTAAGCAGTGAGTCGAGAAATTACGGTTTCAAAAGTTTTTCACCACCTTTTGCCAGAGTGGGTCTTTTCCTCTTGGGTGATACTGATGGTCCCACATTTGATGATTGTGACACTGCGCATGACAGGTCTGTGGTATCTGGATCCTCTCTCACCTGTAGTATAGATTTCAAACAAAAGCCAAATTAATTATGGGTATTAAAATTATGGACATAATAAAACAAAATAATTTTGAGATTGTTAACATCTTTAAAGATTAACTTCAAGTTAATTTTGAAAATGTAAAATGTGGAAATAAGAATGTACAATTAAATATCCAATATTGACCAATGCCATTAAAAAAATATCTAACAGTACTCATTATACCATTCAGATAACTAACCTGAGATCTTTCTGCCTCAAGAGGGCTTCTCTTTCCAGTTGTTGTCCATTCCTTGCTCAGATCATCTGCCATTTCCTCACAGACGGGAATAAAGTCTATGATGAAGAACGACTGACTTCTTGTTGGTGAGTTTTTTGCTTGTGATGCTGACAGACTCTCATTTGACTTCAAAGTCTTTGGCATGTCAGAAGTAGTGTCTAATTGGTGTACCTATAAAACAGATTTTTGCATTGTCATTTGCACCACCTTGTTTAACGTTTTATATAGGAGAATCTCGAAAAACCTGACCAGGTCACACTTCACTCCAAAAATTAATTATTAAATAGATATTTTGTTCATTTTACTCCCTCAATATATTGTGTCTGGTACGGTGTTTTTTTTCTTTTAAATCATTTTCTTTTATTAATATTTTATTCGTTTTTTTCAGTAAAATGTGATCTAGACACTTCTTCATTCAACTTACCCATAAAAAAATCAATTGTTATGAACCACAATTAAATGCTTCTTAAAATAGCATACTTCACTTGAAATTTCAGAGGGCGTCTCCTCACTCTTTGTCGGACTAAGAGCGATTTGCTCATCCTTATGAGGAATGCTTGAGACACACACTTTTAGGTCCGTTGGGATCAATATATCAGTCAGCAGCATGTGTGAAACGCCTTCATGTGAATCCGTTTCCTGGTCTGCTTCTGCAGCGACGGCCTGCTGGCTCTCTTCACGCATGTGAAGACGTACGGTGTTTTTTTTCTTTTAAATCATTTTCTTTTATTAATATTTTATTCGTTTTTTTCAGTAAAATGTGATCTAGACACTTCTTCATGAGACTTACCCATAAAAAAATCAATTGTTATGAACCACAATTAAATGCTTCTTAAAATAGCATACTTCACTTGAAATTTCAGAGGGCGTCTCCTCACTCTTTGTCGGACTAAGAGCGATTTGCTCATCCTTATGAGGAATGCTTGAGACACACACTTTTAGGTCCGTGCTGCTCTCTCCAATCTCTTCAGAAACAGGCACAAATGCATCTGACAGCAACATGTGGGAAACTCCTTCACACCAGTTCTCCATCTCATCTGAGTCCATGGGCAGCATATTGCTTTTGAGGGACCACTCTGCTGCTTGAGGGTCCAGGGACTGCTGAGATGTAGCTAAATGTGTCTGTGTAGAGCTGGGCTGACGGAGGTCAGTTTCTGAAGAATCATCTTTTCTTTTTGATAATTTAGGCTTTGGATGCAGTGTGCCTTGAAAAACAGATTCAATATCGATTGAAAGCATGAATTTAGAAGCAAATCCAAAATCATTTGTTCAAATAATACATTTATGTTAATACACTTAATTTTGACTGAAAAAATAAATAAATACATAAATAACATGACCAAAATCATGGTTCAGTTTTTTTCTGGATCTGTTGCTCCCAATGAAAAAGCAAAAGTCTTTTTTTTTTTTTTTTATTAATTTTAACTTCTGGTTTGGATGGAACTTCCACTAGCCATATGATCACCATCTCCCAATTCAGCAGAAACCGGCACCAATATATCAGACAACACCACGTATGCAGCATCCTCATGCCCATCCTCTATTTTCAGTTCCACTGGTTGCAATTCAGTGCTATGACAGAAAGTTAAAAAATTAGTCTATAATAACTGTACACAGATCTAAGGACATTTATTAAGATAGATGTGTCTTACCATGCTGATGTTTTTGTAGTGCTGAATGGTATAAGCTGTTGAAGTTGTGAGGACGAAGCAATCACAGCAGGCTCTCTGTCTAACTCCTCCTCTTGATCAGACCACTGTTCCACTTTAATGGATTCTTCTTTAATCAGAGGTGCTGGATCATTATACCCGAAGTCAGACTGCTCCTGTCTTGAGAAATCATCTTTAGTAGATGTCGTTTTGGGGATTTTAGGCTTCACTTGCAATTTGCCTTGAGAAGGAAAAAGAGATGATAAAATTGAAATGAAACCAATCAGGTTTGTTCTCATGAGTCAAGCAAGTAAGTTTGAGCTTCCATTTACCATATCTGATGTGCTTTATGTGTGTTGATCAATAAAAGCCAAAATTAAGTCTGTTCATCATACAGCATCTCTCCTTAAGACTTGGATTAAACCACAATTTATATGGATTACTTTTACAATATCTAAAAGCATCAAAGTTTCAGCTGACTGACCTTTCGATGGATGGACAAAAATCTCATGGTTTTGGAATAACATGAGGATGAGTAAATGATGACAGTTGTCATTGTTGAGTGAACTATCCCTTTAAAAGGATAAAATAAGTCAGTTAAAGGGACATTAATATCATTACCTCTCCTAAACGGCACAGTCTTCTCTTGAGATGCAGATGATGTCACACATGATGCCTCTCTGTAAGTTTCAGGCTTTTTAGCAATATCAGCCATTTTTTCCTTCTGTGGACACAAGTACTAATTAACTCAAGTAATGTGCTCCTAGTAAACTTGAATATTTTACGTAAAAAATGTCATAAGGTACATGATAGAAGGACTAATGTTTTGTTTAAATATAAACAAACACACTTACTTGGTCACTAACTGCAGGAAGAGATTTCTCACTCTCTGTAGGACATACAGAAATGTCCTCAGGTTTTTGGAGCTCACTATCATGAGGGCTTTCCTTTTCCTTATTAAAAACATCCTTCATTTCTCCTGATGAGAGTACGAAGGTATCAGCCAACACCATGTGTGAAACACCCTCATAACCAGCTTCAGTGTTCTCCTCAGACTCCTTTATGAATGGACTGTGCACCTGTGAAGAAACACTTAGTGAATGACTGATTTATCTTAAATTATAATACAGCAAAAACAGTGTGAATGGTCCATTTCAACAGAGAACAGCCTCTGACTCACTGGAGGGCCAACAACAGTGTCCTCATCCGTCTGGAGCTCTGTTCTGAGAGGACTTTCCCACTTCACTTGACTCTCAGCTCTCATATCTTCAGAGACTGGCACAAGGGCTGTTGATATCACAGCGTCAGGTCCAGGATGTGCTCTTCTCTCACTGTCTTCAGGGCTTGAGTGGATTTTAGGACCAACTGTTTCCTGCGCAGATGTTCTCTGGTTGGACTCAATCTCAGTTTGTGCTGTGGCTTGAGATGGTGGTAGATACTGACTGGGTGCACAGTCAAACTGGCCATTTTTTGAAGGCCCAACCTTCACACCTGGCTTTAGTTTTGGCTTGACCTTTATCTTGCCTTCATGGAGAGATCAGACAGGACATTACCATCTCGTCTCCTTGAATATACCAGGTTTAATATAGTAATTGATATGACAAATAAAAATTGAATGCAAGTGAATTTCCTACATCTCCTTTGTGTGGGAGCTTTAGTTTCTGGGGATTCTGTCAGGAGCTCATCCAACTTCGGCACATCTGATGGCTTTTACCAAAAGAGAAGAAATATGCTACAAAAAATGTATACGCTCTGCAAATTATGGTAACAAAAGGGAGTACTACATCATACCGTGGCAGAATTACAGGAGAACATCGCGGGTGGACTAATTAAAGAGTTCACATCATCACGACTGCTTTCCTGTGAGGATATCAATTGTGTCCTGGCACCATCTACTGCATCCTTTGAAAGAGGATCCAGGGAGTCATCCACTAACTTGTGAGAACTACTTTTACATGGATTACTGGTCTCTTCTGATGCCATATGCAGAGATGCACTACAAAACAAGGTCATCATGGATGAAAGGAAGGGTTAACCAAGAGTGTATTTTTTACTGCGTAAAAAGTTATCTAATTAAATCTGGACTGGAAGGGAAATGTACCTGGAAGCCTCTAATGTGACAGAATGAAAATGTGAACTACTCGACAACAGTGAGGGTGTCTGGAATTGTGCTGGCTGCAGTTCATAAGGGGCAGTGCCCTGCTGCCCAAAGGCAGCCTCATGAAATAGCTGAGAGGCTGGAATCTCATATAAAGTTAAAATAAAGGTGGGCTCCTCCTCAGACTGTTTATCTGTGACAAGGAAAAATTGTTAATTGTTTTTAAAAGAACTTCATACTTTTATTCAGCAAGGATGCATTAAATTGCCAGTAAAGATGTTTATAATGTTAAATAAATGCTGTTCTTTTTAACTTTTTATTCAACAAATCTTGAATTTTTTTTTATAAGTTTCCACAAAAATATTAAGCAACACAACTGTTTTTAAAATTTATAAGAAATGTTTCTAGAGCACCAATATCAGCATATTAGAATTCTTATAATATTTCATAATATTACAGTTTTTGTTGAATAAATAAATGCAATCATGTCACCATTACCAGCTGCACCTGTATCCACTCCAGCTGAATCTGAAATTTCAGATTTTGCATTTTGATTGAGAGGGGCACTGCATTCCTGCCAGAAAACATTAGTTCAAAAGTATTTATTTCATTCAGCAAACAGAGAATACACAAGGTGTAATGTTTGTCAGGACTCTTCACCTCAGAAGCTTCTGATGGCTCTTCTGTGCAGTCTTGCTTTTCTGAATCCTGCTCACCTGGTATTTGGATGTCTTCAGCTACAGACTCGCTAAACTGCATCCTAAAGCAACATTTAAACCGCATACTATCAGTCATTTAATACGATTATATACATTCCTAATTATTATCAATTAAAGCTGCAAACAATGTACATACGTGTCCATATCACACAGGTTGCTTGCATGTTCATTGGGAGGTGAAACCAGACTGTGTGCTTCAAATGGTGCTGATGAAGCATCACTGAGAACTGGATCTACAAGAAACCAATCAAATGAACAGACTCAATCATTTGCGTGTATACATAAAGGATGGTTCCTAGTCAGTTTTATGTTTTAACTTAGTTCAAATATGTGGACTAAATATTTCTATAAAGAAAATAAAATTAGATCAAACTAATTAAATATAACAAAAACTTAAGAAAGTGTTAAAAGTCTAAAACTCACCATTTGGTTCATCCAGTTTACGTTCCTGTAAATCCACCTCAGATGACAGAAGCTTATCTTCTCTGGAGATGTTCTCCATGTCATGATCCAAATTACTGTGCTGGGCTTGAACAGGACTCTGAGGTTCTGGCTTTTCGGCAGAATCTAAATGAAGATGTCAAATCATTGGCGGTAGCACTAGTGACCCTTAAAGCGATATTGTCAATCTGAACAACATGAACCCCACCTTCTTTAGGCTCTAAGGTCTGCTGAGGGTTGATCATGACTGGGGGTGTCCCTTCTAAGTTGGGTGTTTGCTTATCAAACTGACTGTGTCTCTCTGGGGCAATATCATCTTCAGTATAAACTGAGGAACCATCCGCAGAACAGCTGCACAGATGCAAAGACAGTTAAAAACATTCAAGACAATTTCAGCCATCTACCGATTCATCTGACAGTGCGCACCTGACTGGAATAATCCTCTTCAGCTCTGTCCGAGATTCCTCAATCATTGCGTCTGTGACTTCAGACTCAACAGGCTCTGAATCCTGTTCCTCCTGATCAGTAATTTGATCTTCATTCTCAGACGTCTGCGATGGAGACCTATCAAATCCTCTTCTTTCAGGCACATCTGTAAAAGTCACTGATTTTTTTACTTTTTGGAATCTGCTGCAAACCAAGTTAAGCACTTAATTGTGGGTTTTTGATGTCTGAAAAAAAAAAGGCTTCTATTGCACCTTCATCTGACGGTGTGGTGTCAAGAACCTGGGGCATCCCAAGGATGGGTAAAATCTTACTCGCTCTTGGAGGACTTCCTTATTTAGATAAGTGGTACAGAGACAAAGAAGTAAATTAAAATGAGTTGAAAGGAAAAAAGACAAAGACAAAAAAGAAAAGATAAAAAAAATAAAAAAAGAAAGATGAAGGGAAAGAAAGACAACCGAATAACAAAAGCAATATTGCTTTTAATCTTACCAACTGATGTTAAGGAAGGAAGATCATCTACAGTGGTTTCTGCTTCATCATCCTGGACCTACAAAAAGGAATTAAAGAAGAGAAAACTCAATGCAAGTCAAATATTTTTTATGTATGGCTTTTCCGTCAAATGATCAGAACACACAATGAAGTCACAAAATCTCTCACCTGAACATCCTGAGGGCCGTTCTCTTCTGGAGTAACACTACATGTGCTCTCTTCCTCAGGACGGTCCCTGTGCTCTTCTACAAGGCATTCATTTGGGGTGTTCTTCACTTGGACTTCCACAGGACAGCTACACTGCAGCTGCACTGAGTCACGTTTGAAAGACGGGGTATCTGGATTTGGAAAGAACACATGCCCTCATTCAGAACAGAAAACTACACCGTGTTAAACACTATTCACAGGCCACTGGACGGTCTTCTTAGCTCATGGTTTATATACATCTGAAGCTCACTTTCATTAAAATCTGTTGTCTGTACATTCAGAGGTCTGCGGATGGACTGTGCTGACCGGCTCAGACTGGGTTTGGGCTTGGAAAACCTTCTCCTTTTTTCGACAATGCTTTGTTGGGCAGAAATGGAGGCGGTGTCGGTTTCCTTCACTTCTTGAGAGACCCTCTCTTCTAGAGTACCACTAGAAGAACCCTGTTCCTCAAGACCATCCCTATGCTCTACCACCTGCAAATCACATCAGCAGTCACTGTTTACTGATTACTACTTGAGTAACGCACAAACAATAACAGATCACACACACATACAGAATAAACTCCTCCAGTACTGACGTGAAGGTCTCTGGCAGGTGCTGTGTCCTGCTGACTCTCAGAGGCTGTTGATTCCTCTGCAGTGGTTTGTGCTTGACTCCTGAGGTAGTGCTTCACTTCGTCATGAGACACCAACACAACTGCTCTTTTCAGTAATGTCTGACCTTGAGGGGATATTAAAAGAAGCATCACACCCATTTTCAACTGTTAATATGTGTTGCACCAGAACAACAGCGGTTGGCTGAAGATCAGTGTTTGAGATTAGATAAAGAGCCTAGAAACAGACTCTTGGTAATGTCATCCATTTACATTCATATACATTACCATTCAAATGTTAATACTTTTACTCAGCAAGGATGGATTAAATATATTAAAACTGATGGTAAAGACATTTAAAATGTTTCAAATAAATGCTGTTCTTTTGAACTTTATATTCATCAAAGAATCATGAAAAACTATATATAGCAGCACAACTGACAATAACAAGAAATCTTGTGCACCAAATCAACATATCAGAAAGATTTTGGATAGATCATGTGACACTGAAGACTGGAGTAATGGCTTGAAAACAGTTATTTTAAACAGTAATAAGCATGAGTGAAAAAAAAAAATTATGAGACACATAAGTGCTCAATTTGTCTAACTGGTCTTACTATGATGAAATAGTTATAAAAACATCAGCAATGCAGACTTACCATTAACTTCAGATGAAGTCAAAAACTCTAAATGCTGTAAATTTAAACCCTAGAAAGAAAAAAGGTAATTGGTGTATTAAATAAAATGAGCAGTTTAGTCTTTCTATTGGTCTATTTACATTCAAACCCTGAACATCACCATAATTGACATATTTAAAGGGGTCATATGATGCTATTTTAAAGATCATTATTTTGTGTATTTAAGACTGTACTTTCATTTAAGTACAATGCACTACATAATCAGAGATCCATACATTTTAAGATCACAGCTTTAAAAATTATGCTCTAAAGTTTCAAAGTATTACGATCAACACCTTTATATTATAGTGATTACTGGCACTCTGCTATGTTAATGCAGGCCTGAAACAGATCCACAGCACACCAAAAAATTCCCAGCCTCCCTTTTTTTTTTTTTTTTTAATTATTGTGGAAATGTTGAGCACATGCAATTAGAGCTATTTGTTTTACCTCCTCCATACAATGATCAGCCACTTTAGAGTCTTGCATGCCCACTTGTTTCGCCATGGCAGTGCTGCTCATGTCCTCTGGTGACGGATCTGACCCAGTATGACACTGGTCTATCTGATCCCCTTCTGAAGCAGTCAGATTGTGCTTGTTCTTTTCCGCTGTTGTCCGCTGCCCAGGAGAACATTTGAACAAGCTTTGCGAAATCTCCTCCTTAGTTGTGCTCTCTGGAATGAGCTTCTCCCTGACACATTATGAGGCAATTGATGAAGATTTGTAATAAAGGACTACTGAAAGAAAATCCCATACCCTGACCATGGGAAGATAATTTTGCATACCCTTGATCCTCTTTAACACCAGGGCCTGCTGTCAAGACTTCACTACCATCACCTGAAGCAGTCAGATTGTGTTCTTTTCCGCTGTTGTCCGCTGCCCAGGAGAACATTTGAACAAGCTGTGCGAAATCTCCTCCTTAGTTGTGCTCTCTGGAATGAGCTTCTCCCTGACACATTATGAGGCAATTCATGAAGATTTGTAATAAAGGACTACTGAAAGAAAATCCCATACCCTGACCATGGGAAGATAATTTTGCATACCCTTGATCCTCTTTAACACCAGGGCCTGCTGTCAAGACTTCACTACCATCACCTGAAGCAGTCAGATTGCGCTTGACCTTTTCTGCTCTCATCTGCCGTCCAGGAGAATGCTGCGGGCTCTGGGAGGACTGAAGCTGGTTTTGGATTTCAGATGAGTTGTGTGAATCTTTTAACCTGTGATGTAATGTAATACAATTTATAACAGATAAAATATGTTTTTTCAAAAGATCACAGTGTAGTGCTGTAAAGTGCTGAAAGAATGAATCATAATTTACCTTGGTGGAGTTCTTTCCAGAACAACTACAGGCTGATTCTGGAGCTGATCCTCAGCAAGACAGATGATTCTCAACTATAAGAATAAAAAAAATAAATAAATAAAAGAAACATGTTTCAGGATTATCCCTAGTTATCACTAATGAAATGAACTTGTGACTGTGATTTTGTTAATGGCAAAATGTGTTTTAAAAACAATGGTTTGCTTGGTAGATCTAAAAGCAGCATGATACTGTTCTGTGCACGTAAAGTTTCTATGCGGTAAATAAATCAATGCCAAAAAAAAAAACTATTAAAGAAAAAGGGATATTTCACCCAAACCTTGTCATCCCAAACCTGTTGACTTTCTTCTGTGGAATTAAAAAAAAAAGATATTTTGAGAAATGTCTCAATGAATGTCAAAAGCTATTCATACAGGCTTGATCAAGATTGTGAGTAATGATGACAATTTTCATTTCTGGGTGAACTATCCCTTTAAAACATTATTTTATCCTGGGTGGTTATCTATATACTGTGGTAAACAAACCAAAAAGAGACTAGGCAGGTGTGGAATCAAACTCAGAGATGTGAAAACATACCTCATTGTCTGCTTCTCTGCAGCTCTCATCTTGACATTCTTCTACTGTATCCTCAAGCTCTACTGTTGCTTTTGGCTCAGAACATATTTTGACTTTCCTTTTTGCCAAATTGGGCCTTTTTAAACGTTTGAAGGAGCTTTGTGAAATCTCCTCCTCAGCCGCACTCCCTGGAAAGTGCTTCTCCCTGACATATGAGGCAGTTGATGAAGATTTGCAATTAGAGTATTGCTGAAAGAAAATCTCGAACTCTGGGAAGATGATTTTACATACCCTTGATCCTCTTCAGCACCAGGGGCTGTTGACGAGACTTCACTACCATCAGCACCCAGCTCAGATCCAGTACACTCTGCGTAAAACATACAAAACAGGTGACTTTTAAAAAGCAAACATCAAATTTTAGTGATCACTTTAAAATGTATTAAAAAAAAAAATCCTCAACCTTCCTGTGATGTTTTGCTCTTTTTAGTCTTCCGTTCTCTTTTTGTAGGTTCCTTTTCTTCCTTCTCACCCTTTTTGGAGCGTTTCCGCTTTTTAGTTGGGACGGCAGATGCCTCATTGTGCTCCTCATTCACTGCACCACTTTCTCCATCAGTAGGTTCTTCATTCCGTACTGTCAAGTTTACAAAAAGTATATTTTAAACATGCACACTGCAGTTCAAAGGTTTAGGGTGAGTAAGATTTGTCATTATTAAAAGTACTCAAATTCAGCAAAGACTGATCACTAGGGACAGTAAAGACTTTTCTAATGGTACAAAAGATTTCCATTTCAAATAAATGCTGATCTGTTGAGCTTTCAATTCATCAAATCCTGAATCCTGAAAAAACTATCATGGTTTCTACAAAAAATATTAAGCAGGAAATGCTTTCAACATTGATAAGAAATTTTTCTTAAGCACCAAATCAGCATATCTGAATGATTTCCGACAGATCATGTGACTAGATGATCCAGACTAGATCATTGTCTGCTGAAAATTCAGCTTTGATATCACAGGAATAAATCACATTTCAAATTGTAACAGTAGTGCAGTGTAAACAGTAGTGTATAGCTCTCATTTTGATGTCAGAGGGTCTTTAACGTGAGCTCAGTAATGTCAACGTATCAACAGAAACCTTCAAGTGTCTTTTTGTTCTTCTTTTTGTTCTGTTTTTCTTCTATTTTCAATTCTTTCCCCTCCTGGTCACCCTTTTTTGATTGTTTGCGTGTCTTTTTTGATACGGGCATACATGACTGATCTTCATTGTCTGTGTTTACGGAGTCTTCCTCCAAGTCATTGTCCACACACACAAGGTCACCATCTTCAGCTTCCATTAAGCATTTGGCTGAAATAATAAACAGATCTAATCGTCATTCAGCTGCTAATTAATACAGGAAATTGTTATGTTCAGACACTGTGTGGGTTTTGGACCATAATGCACTACAAACAACAGACAGAATGGACAAATCTGAATTACAATAATGAGTAATCACATATTAAAATTTGTCAAACCTTTTTTCGGTGCCTTGTTTTTCTTGCTCGCCTTGCATGTTTTTGGCTCAGCGTCTTTTGTGCGTTTACGCTTCTTGCTTGTGCTTGACGGCACATCCGCTTCATTCATATTACTGCTGTCCTCATTCTCCTTTTCTAAATCAAAACAGACACTGTCCACACTGCACAATTCATCATCATCATTAATGGAGTCTTTGTCCTCAAGCTGTTTCACTTTTTTACCATCTGGGTGAGTGAGAGTAAAACATAAATGAAATTAAATAACAGTGACACAAACAATACTTTGGGAAAGTGTGGTACAGTGGGTTCTTGAGATCTGAGGCTGCCACTCTTGAGCACATTACCTTTGCCTTTCTTTGCTTTACTGGATTTTACAACCAGTTTTATGGATTTGCCTTTTTGTTTGTCTTTAGCCAAGACCCTCTTCAGCAGGAAACTGAAAAGCTCGCTGTCATATGGTCGCTTATTTCCTAAACAGTCAAAATGTCAGAGCAAGGACTGTGCAGTAGATTTTTTTAACAGCACGATAGACAGACAGAGAGATGGATAAATAGCAAAACTTTAAAAATACTCACTGAATGCTTTATCCACTCGCCATGCATTCGCTCTCTCCTCCTTCTTAAATTTACTCTATCAAAAAGAGAAAGACCAAAGCACACAAACAGATAAAGTCTAAGACCTAATGTGAATCAAACTTAAGGTAATACATTTATACTCGGGGTCAGTCAGTGACATAAGGATGTTTGTTATGATTGAGTCTTGTACCTTAATTTCTGCTCTGCTACGGTGAGTCAACAGCTGAGTAATCATGGAGAAGTCTGTTCCCACCATACTGATGGCCAAATAGAACATATCTGTCTCTGAAACACACACGCACTTAAATTTCAAGATGCTCTTAACATGTTTCTTCTCATAACTGAGAAGGAATAAACCAATAAAAAGTATTGATCGTTTAACATTCAACCTACTTCTATGCTTGACAAGAGCGCAAACATCAAATCTCATGTTTCTACACAATTATAAACCAACAGATGTAGCATTTAGTATTCGTACCTCTGACAGACCAGTTTTTCACATAGCCTTTTTTCCTGAAACTTGTGTATGTTGTAGTAGAGCCTCGTTCAAACAGTGGATTTGCATTCTCAACAACTGTATCAGACGTCCTCTGAACGCGCACTGTCAAACTGAACACGACACCGTAATCAGTCAGTAATTCATGATTATGCATTATATAAGATGAAATAAACTGTTACTGGCTGTGCTAAATGCCATCTTTACATCTGTAACCCTGCAGATGCATAATTTCACATATCATTAAACAAAAACAAAACACCTAAAAAAAAAAAACTATTTCATTTCAGTTAGTTTCCAAGTCAACATTTTTCATTTTAAGTTTTAATTGTAAGTACTATAATAACAAACCTAACTATATAGATATATTTAAATATATATATAAAAATGACGAAAACAACAATTACTAACATTTTAATTAAAATTGGTGTAAGATGAAAGTGCATCAATTAATAAGGTTTGGCTGGACTAATAAAGTTAATTAATAAGGTTAAGGTTTGGAAGCACATCTGAGAAGCAGTAGGGGAAATGAAAGCAAGCAATTTCACTTTCAACAAACTAACTAACTAATTAGCTGAATAACTAAACTAAATAAATCAATAAATCAATCAATACATCTGAGAGTAATGCTGAAGTGAAAGTTTCCCTTATTAGGTTATTAGATTCATTCAGGCCACCATACCTTTCTTCATCTAAAATCAGTGAGCCATCTTCTGCCACCTTGACTTTGGGAACAAGCAGTTCCTCATCAGCATCAGCATCATCATCATCATCCTCCTCGCCTGCTTCTGCCATATTTTTCTGCACCCTGAGACACAAAAACAATGGCATTATCTTGAAAGACATGACTCTAAACAACATGCAAATCAAACCAAATATTGTTCTTTACTGCAGGAGAAATTGCAGTCCTGAATGTCAAGTTAATGTTACACTAATTGTCAAAAACAGTGTACGTACTCAGAAATATGAAAACGATTAACCCCAAGTACAAACAGCTATTCAGTGAATGGGACATGTGTGTATAAATAATAATAATAATACAGGTTTTATTTCACTTACGTGGGAGTTGGTGGAGCAGTGGTCTGTGTTTGAGTCTCCTCTGTGGAAAGGGAGGACCTTTGGAGATGTAAAAAAATCATAGGATATGTGATAATATGGTAACACTTTACAATAAGGTTACATTTGTAAACATTAGTTAACGACATTAGTAAGCATGAACTAATTTAGTTAACTTCACAGTTAGCACTTACTTCATAGGGTTTGACTCAGGCAGGTAATAAATGAAGTCAGCTAAGGTCATTTTGTCACGATCTGGCTCAAAGCCATGCTCACATTTAGGTTGTCTACTCTTCTTCTCCTTTGAGTTGGCAAAAACAAAGAAAGTTTACATATATGAATTTAACATTTTGACTTTGCTTCTCCATGTTTTTGATAGATTTCTTATTTTCTAACAACTATTGTGAGAAGCTTAAAAACATTTTTTAAATGACTTAATATTGACTTCACCATTCCTTCTTTCTTCCTCTCCAGCTTCATCAGTTCTTTCAGTTTGAGGGCCCTCAAGACCCGCTGCTTGTCTGAAGAAATTTTGGTCCTGAGGGGAGAGTCTGGTCCATCAACACGTGACAGTTTCACATATGGTGAGAGTGTGCATGAAACTGGAGTGACTCCTTGTGGCCCAAAATCCTCATTTGGGATTTTTTGGGGAGTTTGGCAAGGCTCTTGTTGAGACGCTGTTGATAATGGAAATTCTGGGCAGCCAGATGTTGATGGAAGACATGGTGAGGATGGAGGGTAGTTGGCTGCTGTAGTGACATCTGAGAATATATAGTTTTGTGAATCGTCTCTGCTGATAGCAACTGGGATGGGGGACTGAGGAAAAGACTTGGCTGCCTGGAAAGGGGATGATGTCTTGGATGTCTCTGATGGAAGAGAAACAGTCTTTCCAGTGGATGGAGGAGGAGCAGAACGGACTTTGGGTCTGCCTAGGTTTGGTGTGGCAGAGAATCTACTCCTCCTCTGAAGTACTGTAGTTGCAGGTGTGCTGACGCTAGATGGCGCTCCATCATTACTGTCAAAAAATAAATAAATAAAAACTTGATTTGAGAGGCTTCTGAATCTGAGGTTTGACCACATCACTGTAGCAGCCATATAACTAACTTTTAATTTAGTTTAGGCAGTCATGTAAAGTATTAAAAACACATAATTTAATTGAATATTTACATTCATGTTCTTGTCTGAAACTAGCTTTTATAGTATTTATTAATATTTTTAATTAGCTTTTATTTTTATATTTCAGATTTTAATTTAAGTTCTTATTAGTTTCTGTTTTTTTTTTTTTATTTAGCTTTCATTTATTTTTAATTTCAGTTTGGTTTTTAGTAATTTTAGAACTTTAAAGGGGTCCTATGATGCGATTTCAATTTTTCCTTTCTCTTTGTTCATTTTAGTTGGTTGCCAAGGCAACATTTTGTTTGCAAGATTGTAAATGTCTTTACTGCCAATTTTGATCAATTTAATGCATCTTCGCTGGATAAAATCATTAACTTTTTTTCAAGAATTTCAAGATTCAAAATAAAAGTATTAATTCCCACAAACGTTTGAATGGTAGTGTATGTACGATCATAAATTTTCTATTTGATGTTTATACTTTTCCTTGTAGGAGGCAAATGCCATTTTGCCAATTCACCCCGAAATATACATGAAAAATATACTATTTAAAAAAAAAACTTTAATATAAAAAGATGATTTCTAAAACCAATGTCTCCCAAAAATATGGTTCCATGGGGAAAAAAATAATTGTAAATTCTGGGGGTGCTGTACATGTTTGCTTACATGTTCAGTGATGCTTTTTCTGATGGAGAGCCGGGCACATTTCCATCTCCTGTCGCCACAGCAGACTCTTTGACTTCCAGCTGAGACTGTGGAGAAGGTGACAGCGTTTGCTGGGTGTCACCAACAGCTGTGGACCCTTGGGAGCTCTTGTCCTCTGCAGCAGGCTCCACACTTCGACCTCCTGGCCTGACATTGGGCTTAATACTAATTCTTGCTCTTCGCATCCTGGTCAAGTAACTGTGGTAAGATCAAGTCATGTATAAGCTTGCATGTCATACATACACGTCTATATAAGGATGAGGTGTCACGTGACTGAGATAGAGTTGCACTCAGTCACAGCAGGACATACCCTATGATCATAGACTGTATATAGATTACAATTGTGTCATGTGGTCAAGACTGACTGATTTCCTCGGTCTGGTGATGGCCATGTTTCGCGTGGCTGCTAAGCTAAGTTTTGAAGGATATTATCGACAGTACTGACTAATTAAAGTATTTCTAACCCGTGGGCTCATGTATTTTGCTCACTGAGTGAATTATGAACACCAACAGTAGTCGAGATTAAAAATATAAAAGGGGTATCTCTGAATTGTTAAAAAATGCTCTTATATTGGACACTTATACTCGACAAACGCCTCTGATTCCCGCATGCCTGAGTGTGGTGTGTCCACACTGATTTCCCATTGGTTGCTGACAAAAATGAAGATGCCACAATTACGAGCGACAAAGCGGAAAATGTGTATTGACAACAGAAAAGCAACAAGCCTTACTTTAGTTCAAATCCTGTCAGTGTGATTGCCGCGATATAAAGTGGTAAAACGCCGTTTCAGCCGGTCGTATGGTATGGCTCCCCTGCAGCAACTTTCCCTGCGTAGTGCGTACCGGCCGGTGTCTGATAACTACGCCAGTCCAGACCTCTACTCATTCAGCGAATGGCATTGTGGGTCTTTTTAGTTTTACTGTTACTCTCTTCGCCTCTTTTCTCTCGCAAAAAACTACATTACCCAACAGCTTCAGAAAATCAGCTGCGACTGATAGTACACACGTGGAGCAACACTCTGCCTGAAGGCACGTCGTTAACAGGCAATACTATGAATTTAAAACTGCAATTTACATTTTTTAAATATTTTTTTTTCTTCAATTTGATAAAGAACAGTTTATGATAAAGGATATTACTCGAATGATATACTAAGTGGTATTTTTTTTTCAAGAGATAATCATACCTGCGTCATACGGTTGTTTGGAGTAGCAATAGCATTCTAACGTAATACTCTTACCTCAGTTTGTAGTATGTATGCAATGCGAATTATGTAAAAAAAAAAAAAAAGTGTGCTTGACTTTACGTCGTTAACAGGCAATACTATGAATTTAAAACTGCAATTTACATTTTTAAAATTTTTTTTTTTCTTCAATTTGATAAAGAACAGTTTATGATAAAGGATATTACTCGAATGATATACTAAGTGGTATTTTTTTTTCAAGAGATAATCATACCTGCGTCATACGGTTGTTTGGAGTAGCAATAGCATTCTAACGTAATACTCTTACCTCAGTTTGTAGTATGTATGCAATGCGAATTATGTAAAAAAAAAAAAAAAGTGTGCTTGACTTGACATTTTCAGTGTGCTGAATGACCAAGCAGTCATATTAACCACAAATTTTGACATCATCTTTTTGACTGCAAACCTTCGTCTCATTTTCCCCACCAATCATTATAGCTGCTTTGAAATAAATATATATTTTTTAAGTGATAGCAATGACTTGACTTGTAGCATACTAGTTAGAAAAAAAATCCTTGCGGTTATGCTTATGTAGGTAGTAAACCGTATGCTGCTAGCATTCCATTCTGAACATAGCCAGTGTAAGTTACTTCAAAAGTTTGAAGTGTACTTCATTCAGCACGTTTTTCATCTAGTAAAGAAAAATGAATTCAGTTATCTGCTGATCCCATTCAGAGATTATAAACCATTGTACTACCAGAACTTGACATGTGAGACTCAAATCATTCAGCCAGTCATCACTTTATTGTGAAGTGGACCTAACTGGTCTTATACAGATTTGAATACAAACTTTGCAAAAGATAAATAGGACAATTCTGAATCTATTCCACTAACTAAAATTCCAGTTTATTGCAGCGACTACATTAAAAAAAAAAACATATGTTCTATAGCATCCAAGGTAGAGATGGCATAGTGCATAACAGAGCAGATATTTATAAATGTACACACATACAATTCACATAATTCATTCTGACAAGGCTTTAGCATCCAGTACAGGCAGTATAGTACACGTTGTTGTTTTTTTTGCTAAACCATTAATTCAGAGATGAATGCATGTCTGCTGCACTTTTAAGCCTTGCAATATCATGTTTTTCCCACTTAATTTGTCAGGCAGAAACCATTAAAAATAAAGAGCAGTGTAGTAACATATCATTGATCAGTCAGACACATCAATGTTTTATCAAATATTACCTGAAACTTTCTGGATCATCATGTTACACGCAAAACAATGTGCTTAAATAATATTGCCTACAGGCATCATCCTCCAATTCTATGGATCGATATTATTTTTGACTGTTTATAGTTGCAGTACCACTGACAACATGCCAGTAGTCGCAATTAAAGATTATTTATTAAATACAATGTCAAATCAAAACAAAAACAGAGAACTTTTGACATGATGACAGTACATACTGTATATATTAGTGAATGTTGCAAGCTCACCACCTCACAAATAACAGAACACTGAATACAGATCAAAGAAAATAACATCTTGCAAGGGATTCAGTTCAAAAACAGGTTGATTAGAGTCAGTTGCTCTTTATAATGAACAGGCCAGAACAGTATGTATCATGTGATCTGATAAGTACAGAGCAGATCAGCAGATGTTGATTGCACAGTTGTCATATCAGAGCATCCCTATAGATATTATATACACTTTCTCTCTGCTGTCCATCATGTCGTTTTGTGTTTGGACATTTAATATTTAAAAAAAAAATCTGTAATCTTATTCAGTTTATATGCCAGTTCATAAAAATGTTTCTCAAAATTAGTGACCAGTCATGCCCTAAAGCTTTTCATAAATGTGGAAAAGTAAACATATAATGTCAAAATAATACTGCAATGAAGAAAAAGTCATCAGACAAGACAGCAATAACTTGTCTACTGGTGCGAAAATGACAAAATTGCTTTTGAGTGCTTTTAGTACAGAAAACAAAACCACCCTCATCATGTTGTCATTTAGAGACACAATGCACTCAAATTCATGTTTGTTTGGTTTAATCATGTTTTAACAGCAGACCAGCACTGGATGATGGTTTATTTTTAGCCTGTCCATGATCATGGCTTATAAAACTAGGAGGGTTGCACACACTTCATTTGGCTGTGACATCAGAGCTAAGAGACCTGCTCTTGAACAGGATGCACTTTAGTGGGAAAGATACATAAAAATGGTGCTCTGTGAAAAGCGGTTGTGGTCGTGTATCCATTAGCTCAACCACAACATTATAAAGCTGAAACACCTGGGATGGAATTGTTTTTTGCATAATTTCTTGTTCAGTGATTTTTGTTTGACTTGGAACCTATGGAGTCATCAAGGTGGCCAGCTATCATGCAAATGAGTTTCCAAATGGGTCTCTGAAAGGATCTAAGCCCACTGTCTTTATGGGAGGAGCACTCTGTAAAGGTCAAAAGAAAACAGAAACAGAAATATTAAAGAAGAAGAAGAAACATATTGAGCCGCTCAGAAAAATAAACTTAAAATAATGTTATTGTTTGATAAAATGTTTCATAATCTCTTAAAATAATGCACATATACGTACAGTTGCAGGTACAGATGTGCCAAACAGATTTTTTCCAAAGGAGTTGTCGAATGGGTTCTGAACTCCAATCTTCAGTGGCTCTGCAGTGACAAAAATGATTTTTTGTATGTTATCTCAAGATGTTACCAAAAATATAACCTACGGATTCCCAAACTTTTTGTCAGCCAAACCCCCTTGACATAAAACAATTACTTGAAGTATCACGTTAATACTTCAATAATTTAACAACACATTTGCATGCTCATGGTTCTCTGATGTTGGTTAATGGCAGGGTTATTATAGTTAGCTAAGACTAAATCCATACAAAACCATGTTACTTGAAATAAAAGTTAACTGAAATCAAACATTTAAAAAAATTAAACCTATTTTAATTCAGCTAGTCGCCAAGGTAACATTTCTCATTTTCATTTAGTTTAACTTGATTTACTAAAATAATAAAAAAAGTGAATAATAACTAGACTTTTAAAAAACTAACAAATATGACAAACAACAAAATTACTCAAACTTTAAATAAAATTGAAAAAAAACAAAAACAAAAAAATAAAAATTCAAACTATTAATAAAAACTATAATAGTATCTCAATGACACAAAAACAGCACTGGTTATTTTTGTCATCTTTTTAGTTTTGACAGCATTGCAGTCCACATCACAATCACACTGGTGTTTTTAGGAACCCAATCATTTTGAATATAATAATAATAAATATAAAATTATTTCATAATTTTATCATAATTTTTATTTTTAACTCAAAATTATTAAAAATCCTTTTGAATAAATGTAATTATTAACAATCATTTTGAATAACTAATTATTGAAAATAAAAACGGAAATATACATTTCTATTGTAATAATGCAATTGCGCAATCATATTTACTAAAATTACTTATAGTTACAAATTAAATGATTCACTTTCAAATGTTAAACCCTAAATCTATTATTCTAGTTAAAGGTGGGGTAAGCGATTTCTGGTAGCCAATGTTGACATTTGAAATCACCAAAACAAACACGCCCCTACCCCAAAAGGGTCTCGCCCCTATTTTGATAGCTCCGCCCCACACATACATACGCAACCCAGGCAACAATTAGTTCTGTGAAACAAAGCAAAACCAATGTTACACCGTGTCTACACCGGACGCGAGTGGCGTGGCGCGACAAAATACTATGGAACTCATTATAATCAGTGATGCTGTTTACACCATATAGATATATATATATACATATCTATGGTCTACACTGGATGCGGCGCGGCACGACACGACAAATCCCCGACAGAAAACTGCTGCTGCGTTCTATTTATGACGTATTGACACAAATTTCAAATGATTTTCAACGGTCACTTTGTCGCGTCCAGTGTACTAGACAGACTTTAGCTGTTGCGGTGCAGACACGGTGTTACTCACCTATCGAGAAGAAACAAAGCAACCTGAATGCTCTCTCCTCCACATCATGAGTAGACACGCCCCTTACTGCTGATTGGCTACAAGTTTGTTTTGCTAGTCGGCCCGAATCAGTTTTCTAACACGTTTTTGAAAAATCGCTTACCCCACCTTTAAACACTCAAGCTTTTTCTGCAGTGAGACCTCTGTTTAGGTGAAATCAGGTTGATGAATGCTTCTCGTTACAAATCTGGTGAAATGCTGAAAACGTATTTCTGAAAAATTTTGAAAATTATGCAAATGTAAAATAAAGTGATTGTGGTGTATGTCGCATTCCCAAAATGCATGTTATGAGCAACTCAAACTGACATCAGATGCAGAGACGCATTTTATGGCATTCTCATGTAATTGTTAAAACAGCTGAGATTTTAATTACAAATAGATCCATATCTGCTCACCTTTCCTTGCTGGCAAGTTTGGTGGCTTAGCCATCTGGAAATCCTTAAACATGTCCTTTATATCTCTCTTCTCCTTTTCTCCTAGAGGATCCAGGTCAACAAAAGCATTACTGTCCACCTTTGGAGCTTCTTTGGTAGCTACTGCCCGAGGTGGAACCAGTGGAGGGGGACTGGAGCTCTGCTGTCCATCGGGCACAAGGCTGGGTGGAAATACGCTGGTCTGGAAGGGGTTCCCCAGGGTTGAATGAGGGCTCCAGGATCCATTGGTTCCATTGGAGACTGGGGTGGTGGTCCATGATGAAAGCTGTTGGGTAGGGTTTGAAGTTCCCAAACTTCCAGGAATGTTTCCCCAGGCAGGAGCAGGAGAAGTGGAGAAGACAGGTGCTTGAGTGAA